AGGCCGGAGGATCACTGCAAATTTGAGGCCTAAACTACACAGCAAGAACCCATCTTGAAAAAAAAAAGCCAAAACAAAGCAAAACAAAACAAAATCATCCTGGCCAGCCATGGTGGCACACACCTGTTATCGGTGCCACTTGGGAGGCTGAGACAGGAAGATCCCAAGTTTGAAGCCAGTCTGAGAGGTAGCTTAATGCTTCAGTCCCCGATACTGAAAAAGAAAATCTGGTTTTGATTTCTAAGTGTAGAATTTTATCTCAGAGGGTTTTGATTCGTGTTTGAGGAGTTTTGTTTCTGTGTTTTTGTACCTACTGGATCTTTTTTTCCTCAGAGCTCTGTGTCTCTCATATGCATCTTAGTCTGTGTAGCCCAGGCCAGCAGCTGTTCTCAGCTGTGGGCAATCAGTGCTGCGAAGTGGCGTTTGGACGCCAGGCTCTAAGCAGCTGGCTGGAAACCCTGATGAGGGAGCACAGGTGGCATATTGGTGGCTCTGGGCAGGGATGGCCAGGGTGGCTGCCCCTGCTGAGGGCCGGCGTCCACTCCACCCATCCATTTCACACTGTGCTCTCCCAGCTGCATGTGGGGTGCAGGGCAGAGCTCCCTCCATCCCAGCAGCCCCAGGGAGAAAGTTGCAGCTTTTGCTTGGTGTCAGCATGGGTGACCTCATTGCAGGTTTCTAGTGGGGGGCTGACCTTTTGTGTGTGTGTGTGTGTGTGTGTGTGTGTGTGTGTGTGTGTAGTACTGGGAATCGGGCCAGAAAACACTGAACTACATCCCCAGCCTGTTTTTTGAGACAGGGTCTTGTTAAGTTGTTGAATTTTCCAGGTTGGGCTTGAACTTGAGATCCTCCTATCTCAGCTTCCCAGAATGCTGGGGTGACAGGTGTCTTGCTTGGGTTTGCATTTCTTCTTTATTTACTTGTTTTTGGTACTGGGAATTGGGCTCACAACCTTGCGCTTGCCAGACAGGCATTGTGTCACTGAGCTGTATCCCCGGCCCCTGTTTATCTATTTTTGTGAGTGTGTGTTTGTGGCACATACACAATGATCACATCCCTTGTGGGAGTTGATCCATCCACACAGCACATCTTAGTTCTCTCCCTGTCATCTCTTGGCGGTCCCCTTTCCATTCTGTTTCTTTTTTTTTTTTTTTTTTTGTCTTTTTCATTTTTATTGGTACCAGGGATCGAACTCATGACTGCACACTTGCAAGCAGGCGCTTATGCCACTGAGCTAAATCCCCAGCCCCTCCATTCTGTTTCTTATAATCTGTTTTTGTTCTACAAATTACTTATATCTTTTTTTTTTTTTTTTTGTACTGGGAATTGAACTCACAACCTCACATCTGTCAGGCAGGTACTTGAGCTGCTGGGCTAAATCCCCCGCCCCTGTGTTTCTCATATAAATGAAATCGTGGGGCTGGGGATTTAGCTCAGTGGCATAAGCACCTGCCTTGTAAGCAGGCAGTTGTGAGTTCGATCCCTAGTACCGATAAAAAGGAAAAAGACAAAAAAAAAAAATTAAAAAAAAAATGAAATCATGTAGAATTTAAGTTGATTTGTTTCACTTAACATAGTGTTCTCAAGGTGCATTTGTTTTCCTACAAATGATTCTTTCATTCTTTACCGCAGTGAATGTTCCAGTGTGTGTTAGTGCCACATTTTCTTTACCCATTTATCTGTTGATGAGGAGCTGGGCTATGACGAGTGGTGCGGCTATCAGCATGGCTGTGCATGTACCATTGAGATGGGACGCCCTTAAGTGTTTGTTACTGCTTGATTTCTTGGCTCTCGGTTGCATTGGGCCTCCAAGAGTAGCTTCCGTGGTACCAGGACTTCCTTGTGCTTTGCCCTCCTGATCCTTCTCCCTAGAAGCGCTTCCTTCACTCGGCCACTGTCACCCTCAGGTGTCTGTTCAGGTTGCCTCCTCACACCCCCATTGCCCTTGACTGAAGAATGAGGGTGCTGCCTGGGGGAGCTATTTGTTATCTGGATGCTAAGGTCCCTGACTTTCAGCTTAGGCATCCACCGAGCATCCATACCCTGGGCAGGGGGCGTGGGAGGCCGCTTGGGTGCTCGGGCCCTTTGGCATCTGAGCTGCTGGCTCCCCGCCCAACGCAGGCCGACCAGGTGCGGCTGATGCAGCTGTATGAGCAGGCGCGCTGGGACCTGCTGCTGGAGGAGATCGACTGCACCGAGGCCGAGATGATGATGTTCGCGGCCCTGCAGGTGTCGGGGTGGCCGGGGTGGCCGGGGCGTGGGCCTTGGGTAGGATGAGCCTTCTGGAGCAGGGCCCATCTCCAGGGACACCCAGCCTGGGGCCACCACTAGGCAGCGGGACTCAGCGCTCCCTGGCCATGTGCCCCCAGTACCACATCAACAAGCTGTCCCAGAGTGGGGAGGCCGGTGAAGTGGCCAGCACAGACCCAGGGCTGGACGACCTGGATGCGGCCCTGAACAACCTGGAAGTGAAGCTGGAGGGCTCGGCGCCCACGGACGTGTTGGTGAGGAGGGCTCAGGCTCTGGAGGTGTCAGGCCAAGGGAGCCCTGGGCCCCTCTGACTCCTCTGCTCCCCCAGGACAGCCTTACCACCATCCCAGAGCTCAAGGACCATCTCCGAATCTTCCGGTGAGTCTGGCCAGCCCGAGTGGGAGACAGTGCTTCCGGGCACCATTCATACCCTGCTTGCCTTCAGGCCCCGGAAACTGACCCTGAAGGGCTACCGCCAGCACTGGGTGGTGTTCAAAGAGACCACGCTGTCCTACTACAAGAGCCAGGATGAGGCCCCGGGGGACCCAATTCAGCAGCTCAACCTCAAGGGTGAGGCAGCAAGAGCAGGGACTGGCAGGATCCCCTCTGTCAACTCGGTCTCCTCCGGGAACCAGGGAAGACGATCTCTATGGGCAGGCCTCCCCCTCCATGAGCCTCCAGCCACCCCTTATCCCTGCAGGCTGCGAGGTGGCCCCAGACGTCAACGTCTCCAGCCAGAAGTTCTGCATCAAACTCCTAGTGCCCTCCCCTGAGGGCATGAGTGAGATCTATCTGCGGTGCCAGGATGTGTGTGAGGCTGGCAGGGATGGGGGGAGACAGGCTAGGGCCGAAGCAGCACTCAGGACAGAGCCCAGCTGGTTCCTCACTGTCATCCCTGTCCCCACCAGGAGCAGCAGTATGCCCAGTGGATGGCTGGCTGCCGACTGGCCTCCAAGGGCCGCACCATGGCTGACAGCAGCTATGCCAGCGAGGTGCAGGCCATCCTGGCCTTCCTCAGCCTGCAGCAGGCAGGCGGTGGGGGCTCGGGCAACCACACTCAGGGTCCTGAAGCCTCTGCTGAGGGCCTCAACCCCTATGGCCTTGTCGCCCCTCGCTTCCAGCGCAAGTTCAAGGCTAAGCAGGTACCAGAGCGCATGGCGGGTAGAAATGGCCACACCATTTTCCTGGCTGCCTTTCATCCTGTGAGAGGCTCTCAGAGAAAGCTGCATGAGCACTTGCTTCCTCTCCCAGGCCTCTGAAAGGGTCACAATCCGAGGGCCCCTGTCACTCAGGTCCTGGCTCAGCCTGTGTCTGTCGAGCACTGAGAGGCTGTACTTCAGCTGTGTTGGGCACTGGCCCTTTCCCAGGCTCAGCCTCCTGTCTCCCTGACAGGAGCAGAAAGGGGTCTCAGGGAGTTTGAGGGACAGAAACCCCCACCAGCCCCTGAACAGTGTGTCCCCACAGCTCACCCCCAGGATCCTGGAGGCCCACCAGAACGTGGCCCAGCTCTCACTGACCGAGGCCCTGCTGCGCTTCATCCAGGCCTGGCAGTCCTTGCCTGACTTTGGCATTTCCTACTTCATGGTCAGGTAAAAGCCCCAGTCCAGTCAAGCACTGCCCTGTCCTGCTGCCCACTGTCCCCCACACCACCCCAGGCAGGACACAGCTGCCCTGAGATGCCACTGCAGAGGGTGGCCCTCCTTATTCATTTCCCAAACTCACACAGACATAGGGATGCAGGACAACCACGACATACACTATCGTTAGCATTTCAGGGCCGTAAAGTGAATCCATCAAGTCAGCCCCATTTCCCAGCTGAGGAACCCAAGCCCTAGGGGACATAAATGTCGCTTAGGGTCACGCCACGGGCGAGCGGCAGTGTGGGGATGCAAGCACAGCCCTGTCCTATTCCTCACACAGGCTCTGTGGACACTGTGCCACACTGTCTGGGTGGGCTCGAGGGCCACGCAAGGGGAGCTTCTGCTCATATGTCCCAAACACTCCATCAGGTTCAAGGGCAGCAAAAAGGACGAAATCCTGGGCATCGCCAACAACCGACTGATCCGAATTGACTTGGCCGTGGGCGACGTGGTCAAGACGTGGCGCTTCAGTAACATGCGCCAGTGGAATGTCAACTGGGACATCCGGCAGGTAGGCCCACAGCAAGAGCAGGGAGGGAGAGGGGACAGATGGTGGAGGCTTTGCCCTTATCCCTCCTGCCCACTGGCACCTCTGCCTGCCCACCCTGCCGTAGGTGGCCATCGAGTTCGACGAGCACATTAATGTGGCTTTCAGCTGCGTTTCTGCCAGCTGTCGAATTGTGCATGAATACATCGGGGGCTACATCTTCCTGTCAACGCGGGAGCGGGCCCATGGGGAGGAGCAGAATGAGGACCTCTTCTTGCAGCTCACAGGTGGCCACGAGGCCTTCTAACGGCAGCGTGACTACCCATGCCATGCTCACCACCAGCCACTGCCACTCCTGTGCCTGCTGGGACTCACTGCCCCACCACCACGCCAGGCCTGCTCCAAGCTGGGTGCTTTTACCTGCTGTCACTGGCAGACCAGGTCCCCGGGTGGGCCAGACTCCACCATCACACAGACTGGGGCTGGCGTAGCCTGAGTGCATACACAGCCCTCTTTCCCTGTCTGCCTGGCCAAGGCCAGCACCCTGACCTATGTGTGGCACAGCTCCTGAGTGCCCAAGGAGAACCAGAAGTAGGCAAAGCATGAGAAACCCTAGTTTAAAACTGGAGTTCTTTTCTCATTACTGTTAAAAAACTTTTTTAATAAATATTTTATTGTTTGATCATCCTTCGTCTGGGGCTGTGCAGGGGCCACTCAGACACTCTGCGTCCTTCTCACCAGCCAAGGAGAGAGGTTTTCCTGAGGTAAAGAGGAGAACTGCTTAGAGAAGGGGCGATCCCTCAGCCTGGCTTCTCGGGTAGAACAGAGGCCAGGGCAGAGGGCACAGGCATGGGGGTGTGGGTGTGGTTCTCACGGGCAGGCCGAAGCTGTAGGGCCTCCTTGAAGTATTTGGGAAGCAGGAAGCCATCAGCATCCCCTGGAGTCAGGATCACCCCATTGGCAGAGCGGAAGAAGGAGATCCCATCTGCGGACACAGCTAGTGATGTAACTCGTGCCCTCCACCAAGGGTCCTGCAGCCCCTTCTGTGACAACACCCACCTGCTAGGGCCAGGGGTCCGTTGATGAACACGGCCACTTCACAGTTTGGGCGCATGCCTGCAGGGACAAGTGGGACTGGGGCCTAGGGGAGCTGGGGGCAGTTAGCAAACCAGGACAGAGTGACCCTAAGGTGAGGAGTGCAGAGAGTACAGTATTGTGCGAGGCCACGGAGCCACCTCAGACATGAGTGGCTGTGACCCTTGCAGGGGACCTGAGAAGTCAGACTGGGTGAGAATAAATGGGTAGCGGGGTCACTGACCACTGATGACACCAGGATCCCCAGGCAGTCCTGAGGCCAAGTGAATGTGCGTCCTTCCCTGGCATGACAGGCCCTTGAGCAGGATGGATGGCCAGTGCTTCCAGAATGTACCATGGACCAGCACCTGGGGCAGGGCCTGTAGTGTCTCCAGGGGCATCAGCTCCAAATCAGGCACCTGAAACAGGTGGTTGAATGGGTAGCGGTGAGACCTCTTCTGTGGAACGGGGTCCCACCTGGCTCTCCCACCTGTCCCCTTGGCACACACCTGCAGGGAATGGCCCTGGTTAGCTCGGATGAGGAGGCCAGTGCTGGGGTCTCCTGGCCGCAGGGTGAACCGCTGCTTCTCATTGGCATCCACCACGCGCTGCACATCCTCAATTGAGAAGCTGCGGAACTGGGGCAGCTGCAGGAGGCCGTGCAGGGGCACAAAGCCATCTGTGGGCAGAAGGGTGCTTAGGCGCCGACCCTGCCTCAGTTCACGGGAAGCCACAGGCAGCCAGAACAAAGGCTGGGCCTACAGATCACATGGGCTTCATCTGTGTGGCTTCCAGGAAATCTCCTTTCTGGGTCTCTGTTTCCTTGACTTACATAAGAAGAGGAGCTGCCTTAGGGAGGTCACACAGGTGACGTTGCTTGGTATTGGCCTAGAGGAGATACTCAGTAAACATCACTTACTGTAAGACTCTCACCCGGCCCACCCTTGTTTACTGGGCCATGTGACTAGCAGGAAACCACAAGAAGGGCCACTTAGTTCGACATCACCAGGCCTGGCCCAGGCAGTTTCCTCTCCCGAGAGACACGATATGGGGCTTTGGGCCCAGTCTTCACTGGGCCAACCTGGGGAGCTGTGTGCCCTTTCAGTGACAGGCCTGTGTCCTCCAGTATGTGGTGCCTGCTGTGCCTTCTCCACGGCACAGTAGTGGAAGCCACAGTGCACAAACACAGACAGGTTTGTACCGTTTCCTGGGTTCCAACCACACTCCTCCCTGGCCACCGAGATCCTCACTTACCAGCTCCCATGGGAAGCCCCAGCTTCAAGGCCCCGTGACGGAGAGCATAGGACAGAGCCTTAGACAACTTCACATCTCTGTCCTGCAAAGAACCCAGGAGTGGCTTAGGTCTCCATAATTGATCCTGTTCTGTTGCCCACCCTGAGCAGAGTGACATGCTGCAGAGGAAGAGGAATTCCTGTGGTCTCTGGGACCAAAATAACCCACGAGTCCCTACTACTGGGAAGCCAGGCCTCTGTGTCGTCCGCCCTCCACTAACCCAGCCTCCCCCAAGCAGATGCGGTGGAAGACAGGGGTACCTGCTCCGGAGGCCTGGGAGCCCTTCTATTCTTGGGCCCTGCTGCCTCCTGGCTCCTTCCTCCAGCGGAGTTCATACTCCAGACTTGGATGGGAGGGAAACGACCTGAGGCTGATTTAAAGATCTTCTATGTCCCCACCCTGCTTGGAGAGTCACAAAGATTCAGAACATGACAGCAGGGTGGCAGACGTAGAGTTCATGATATCTGGTGTCCACCCTCGAAACTCGAGTGCAAACAGGGCAACTAAGACCCCTAGTGGCGAGACTTAAGTCACACTGGCAGTCACAAGTGTAAGATTAGCGGAGCCCCGCGCTTTTATAGGAAGATCGCTTGTAGGCTGACCGGGGTGGGGGTGGGGGGTGGTGGTGAGGCAAGGCAGGGGAGCGGAACACAGCGCGACCGCATCGGCCAATGAAAAGGCACGAAAGAAAGGGACAGAAGCTTTCGAGTCAGGGGAGGGGGCGGAGCGTGAGGGCCAGTGCCGGTGGCTCTACCAATGAAAAGGCATGGAAGAAGGGGGCGGGCCTTCCGCTTGGGGCAAGGGGCGGAGCCTGAGGGCCCAGCTTGCTGGTGAGTTTGAGTTCCGGCAGAGGCTGGAGCCTCACGACTTCCGGATTCGCAAGGGCCTCTCAGTGTGTCCATGGTTGGCAGAATCTCTAGGTTTGGAGGGATAGGAACATTTGGGGGACCCAGGACTTCTGGGTGGTAGGGATGTCTAGAAGTCCCAGGAATTTCTGGAGCAAGAGTTCCCCACACCCAGCCAACGCTTGAGAGTGTTGTTGGGATAATGGGAAACTAACCTCCCAGGAGTGGTTAGGGAGGCTGGAAGGGCTGGGATACCCTCAGCAGGCCTGTGGCAGAGTCTGGCAGAACTGGGCCGAAGGGTGGCTGTGTGCCTTGCGCGCTGACAGGTCCGACTGTGTCCTCCAGAGCCTCCCTTTGCAGACCATGGACCCTGAGGTGTCCCTGCTGCTGCAGTGCCCACCCGGGGGACTGCCCCAGGAGCAGGTAAGGGTGGAGCTGAGCCCAGCCTATGATCGACACCCACTACCAGGAGAGGACAAGACCATCACAGCCATCTGGGAGAGCCGGGTGCAGACCCAGCCTTGGCTTTTCAATGCACCTAAGTTCCGCTTGCATTCAGCCACGCTGGAATCCACTGACTCTGCTGGACCACAGCTGCTCCTGCGCCTGGGCCTGACTTCTTACAAAGACTTCCTGGGCACCAACTGGTCCAGCTCAGCTTCCTGGCTGCGACAGCAGGGAGCTACTGATTGGAATGACAAACAAGCCTATCTGGCTGACCCTCTAGGAGTGGGTGCTACACTACTCACAGCTGACAACTTCCTTGTCTTCTTGCGACGCTCTTTGCAGGTGGCTGAGGCCCCTGGATTGGTGGATGTTCCCGGTGGGCACCCTGAGCCTCAGGTGAGATGCCAGATTGGATACAAAGGCACAAAACCCCAGACAGCTCAGGGAAGCTGGAGCTCTAAGCCTTCCCAGCTCAGCGAGAAATGGCCTGGTGTTTCTCTGAGCCCTTCAGGGCAGCTGTGCGGCCTCCCCTGTTACAGTGTATGGCTGACTGAAGGTTAGACGTAAACCAGCTGACTGCGGCCTACACTGTTATCTGGAAACCTGCTATAGGCCTAGCTTGCAGCAGACCAGTGGGGAGAGGAGTAGGCAGAGGAAGATCCCTGTGTGGCCCCTTACTAGCTGGACCTCTGGTTCTCCACCTGGACAAGGGGATTAAAGGACCATTACGACTCTTACACTGTGTCTACCCCTAGCCACCAGTGCCAGCAAGGGGGAAGACAGGGTGGAAGAGGCAAAGAGCAGAGGCTGAACCTGACCTCTCATAGGCCCTGTGCCCTGGTGACAGCCCCCAGCACAAGGACTTCCCTGGGGAGCTGGTGGTGCGAGAGCTCTTCTCCAGTGTCCTGCAGGAGATCTGTGATGAGGTGAGGGGTGCTTCTGACAGAATGGTGGGCATATAGGGAAGGGGTAGAACTTGCTAGATTTCCACAGGTCTGAGCTAGTGGGAGGTCTGTAGCAACTTGAATGGCACGGAGGGAAGTGCGTGGCTTTGCATGGGGTATACTCAAAAATGGAATTTTATTTTTATTTTATTTATTTATTTTTTTTTTGTCTTTTTCATTTTTATCGGTACCAGGGATCGAACTCACGACTGCCTGCTTGCAAGGCAGGCACTTATGCCGCTGAGCTAAATCCCCAGCCCCCAAAATGGAATTTTAAACTGGGTGTACTTGTGCCCTCCTGCAACCTCATCACTCTGGAGGATGAGGCAGGAGAGTTGCCTCAAATGTGAAGGCAGTCTGGTCTACACAATGCGTTCAAGTCCAGTTTGAACTACAGATCAAGACCCAGTTTCAAACAAACAAAAAAAGTGGAATTCTAGCCCTAGCACTTTGTCTTTACAGTGTAAATAGTGATAAATGTCTTTCCTATTCTCCAAGTTTGTTGAAAGTGGAGTAAATGGGAGTCTTTGTTACTACACTGACTTCCTTGGGCAATTTGATCCCTGTACTTTTGGTTTTCCAAAAGTAAAATGAACATCCTCTTCGGTGGTGGCAGACACTTGCAATCCCAGCACTCAGGAGGCTGAGGCAGGAGTCTGAGGCCAGCCTGGACTACAAAACGAGTTCAAGGCCAGCTTGGACTTCACAGGGAGACCCTGTCTCAAAAAGACAAAATAAATAAAATAAAATGAACATGCCCAAGATCTGACATTGTGATATTAGGCACTTGATCTACAAACCACAAAGGGGTAATTGGATGATAGGCTGTTCTTTGCTGAGAGGGCAGGGATGTGGTCAGGGGGCACTGACATTTGGGATCCCCTGCCCCAGGTGAACCTGCCACTGCTCACCCTGAGCCAGCCCCTGCTGTTGGGCATTGCCCGCAATGAGACCAGTGCTGGCCGCGCCAGTGCTGAGTTCTACGTCCAGTGAGTGAACTCTGGGGCACAGTAGCCTACATCCTGGTGGAGATGGGTGGTGAGGGCTGGAGCTGAAGCAGCTGGCATTCCACAGGGATCCTGCAGGATGGACACCCCCAAGCCACCATCTTGTCCTTCTCTAGGTGCAGCCTGACATCTGAGGAGGTGAGGAATTACTACCTAAGTGGGGGACCTGAGGCCCACGAGTCCACAGGCATCATCTTTGTGGAGGCACAGGTGCGGGGTGACAGATGTATCCTGCTTGGCACCTAGTGCTGGGGTGTGCAGAGAATCCTGGTCAGAGAGGGTGGTGGTTTTCTTCAGAGTTACAGGCTTGTCCTCTGCTCAGAGGAAAGGGCAGAGTCTGTGAGGCCCTGGTAACGCCTCCCTAGGGCTGGTGCAGTGCTGAGGGCTCTGAGGCTTGGGAGCTCTGGGCACAGCCCCAGGAGGAGACCAGGGCTGGATATCTGGGTCTCAACTGTTTTCCTACAGAAGATGCAGAGATTGCAGGAAACTGAGATGTGGGCTGAGCTCTGCCCCTCAGCCAAAGGTGCCATCCTTCTCTACAGCCGGGTCCAGGGAAGTGCCATCTGAGTTGCCTTGGGGACCCCACCCAGCCCTACCCACAGCTCTGAGGACAATAAAGGACTTTATTCTTCAATTGCGTTGGCAAATCTGCTGTTTCCAATAAGAAAGAGGGGTTGCCGGGAGAGGGCTGTATGGGTGAGGGCCGTGATTCCCACGCCAGGCATGTAGAGTTCCTGGATATCTACGGGGTGGAAGCAGCTCGGTGTAACGTGCCGCGGAACCTGCAGGGGTTGGTGAGGGCAGTGGCCGGGCGCAAAGCCTCACAGCGGGAAGGTCAGCCGGGCTCTGCCCAGTCTGTAGGTAGATGCGGTATCCAAGGCCAACGGGAGTGCAGGGGCGGGGCCCTGGCGTCTGAGCCAATGAAAATCCAGAGGCGGGGCCGGTAGAGGCACCGGAAATGCCAGAGACCTCCGAGTCCCAGTCTGTGAGTGGGGGCTGGGGGCGGGGTTTGCCTGTGGCTCCTCCCTCGTCCCCTCCAATCTCGGGGTTGGGGAGAGGGTCGTAGCATCCAGGGAGGTAGTCCTGATCCAGGGGCTACTCCGGAAACACTCCGGGGTGCCTCGGTTCGATCCTGACCGAGGAGACCACCCCTCCCCGGGCCTCCAGCAGTCTTCGTTGGCGAGAAATTCGAGCCAAGCCTCTTCCGTCTCCCCGGACCCGGAGCCTTGGAGCGCTTGAAGTCTGTCCCAAACTGGTCTCAATGTATCCCCACCTTGGTGGCCTCCTTTCCCCAGCTGCCTGCCCGCTGCCATGCCGACTCTACTGCCCCTACTGCCCCTGCTGCCGCTGCGCCTGTGCCATTTGTGGTCCCACGGCCCTCCAGTTCGGTTTTTCTCGGCGGCCGCAAGGCAGCGGTGAGTTGGACGCCAAGGAGAGTTGTTGAGTGCGTTTCTGTTGAGATCCTGGCCCTTAGGCCCGGCCCTACAAGCTGAGATCCTTACGGTCACTCCAGTGTCAGGTCCCTTACAGGCTTGTCTCAGATAACCCATACCTGCACGCTGAGGGCCCTGAAGATGGAGATGATACACCGCCCCCAGCAGGATGTGCTAGTGCCTGCCTGAAATCCTAGCACTCTGGGAGGCTGAGACAGGATTACAAATTAGAACTCAGCCTGGGCAATGTTGCCATGTGGCCAGATTGCTGGGTGTGTGTGTCCTAGAGTTGTAGCTTAGTGTGAATGCCTTGAGTTCAAATTTCAAGGGTGTGTGTGTGTGTGTGTGTGTGTGTGCGCGTGTATGGCGGGAATGTCATACAGCAAGTAGCCTCAGAAATTTGAGGCCAGGTTAAACCCAATGCTCTTTCCATAACTCTGTGGTTGTCAAGATCACTGCACATAACCCACTGAGATGGGGAGGAGGACGAGTACCAAGATGCAGATACCTGGGCCCTGGGAATTGTGTACAGTAGCTAATCGCTCTGTCACTGAACTACATCTAGCTCCTTTTTATTCTGTGGGACAAGATTTTGGCAAGTTGCTCAAATTTGTGATCCTCCTGTCTTGGCCTTCCAAGTAGCTAGGATTACAGGATTGTGACAATGAACCCATTTTTTTTAAAAAACATGAGACCTTGCCATGTTGCCCAAGCTGCTCTTGAGCTTGCAGGCTCAAGCAGTTCTTCTGGCTCTAGACAAGCTTTCATCTGGGTGTGGTGATGCATGCTGCCTGCAATCCCAAGACTCAGGAAACTAAGGCAGGAGGATTGCCAAGGGCTCAAGGCCAGCCTGGACTACATAGTGAGTTCAAGACTAACACTGACTACACAGGAAACTTTTTTTTTTTAATTTTTAATTTTGTATTTTTACTGGTACCAGGGATCAAACCCACGACCACAGGCTTGCAAAGCATGCGCTTATGCCACTGAACTAAATCCCCAGCCCCTAGGAAACTCTTTAAAAAAAAAAACAAAACTTTCAGGCACTTGTGATGTCAGGGTCTGAGAACTACACTTTGAGAAATCCTGGTCTGGACAATGCCCAAAACACTCCCAAAGGGAGGGGTAATCTGGGGACAGCTCTATCTTTGGCGTTGCCTGGGCTCCTGAAGTCTGAGTAGAAGGGTGTTGTGGCTCAGGGAAGCTGGGGAAGCTGGGATCACCAGGGCAGAGGGTTCCCTCTGGGCACCTCAGTCCCTGCAAGTTTAGGCCTCTCTCCACAGGTCTGGCCCAAGTAATTATTATGAACTGCTGGGCGTGCATCCTAGTGCCAGTGCGGAAGAAGTTAAACGAGCTTTTTTCACCAAGTCCAAAGAGGTATGACAGGGAGAAGAGGGCATGTGAGCCCCAAGTCAGAGAGGCAAGAAGGCATCTGAGTCAAGTTGGGGAGCACTCCAAGTTCCCAGGGGTACACCTGTGTTTCTGGCTGGTGCCACATCCCTTCAGGCTGTGTGGGGATGGAAGGGGCTTGAGACTCTGCCTAGGTAGGAAGAACAGCTGAGTGCAGGACCTAGGGCTCCAGCCTCGTGGCACTTTTCTTTCTTGTTTTGTTTTGAGACAGGGTCTCTCTATGTAGTTCAAGCTGGCCTTGAACCAACTACGTAACCAGGCTGGCCTCAAACTTAGTGATCCTTCTGCCTCAGCCTCTTGAGTACTGAAATTACAGTCATGGGCCAGCATACCCAGTTTAGGCTTGCTTTTCTTGACTTGACTGTTTGCTCCAGAAACCTGGACTGAAGCCTATGGAGAGAGTAGGGGGCTGGAAGTGGAGGCAAGGCTTAAAAGGGGGGAGAGGGCAGGTGTCTTCTTGATGCTGGCTTGAGGGGCCAACCAGTCTAAGGGTGAGGGGGCGGGCACTACCCAGACAGGGCCTCTG